GTGAACCTGCGACTGCGCCGCTTCCTTTACTTCATCATCTGAGGTGAACCTGCGACTGCGCCGCTTCCTTTACTTCATCATCTGAGGTGAACCTGCGACTGCGCCGCTTCCTTTACTTCATCATCTGAAGTGAACCTGCGACTGCGCCGCTTCCTTTACTTCATCATCTGAGGTGAACCTGCGACTGCGCCGCTTCCTTTACTTCATCATCTGAGGTGAACCTGCGACCGCGCTGCTTCCTTTACGTCATCATCTGAGGTGAACCTGCGACTGCGCCGCTTCCTTTACTTCATCATCTGAGGTGAACCTGCGACCGCGCTGCTTCCTTTACGTCATCATCTGAGGTGAACCTGCGACCGCACCGCTTCCTTTACTTCATCATCTGAGGTGAACCTGCGACCGCGCTGCTTCCTTTACGTCATCATCTGAGGTGAACCTGCGACTGCGCCGCTTCCTTTACTTCATCATCTGAGGTGAACCTGCGACTGCGCCGCTTCCTTTACTTCATCATCTGAGGTAAACCTGCGACTGCGCCGCTTCCTTTACTTCATCATCTGAAGTGAACCTGCGACCGCACAGCTTCCTTTACTTCATCATCTGAGGTGAACCTGTGACCGCACCCCTTCCTTTACTTCATCATCTGAGGTGAACCTCATCCTTCAAGGTCCCACCCCCAGTGCACACAATACTCATTCCGATAACCAATGGATGACTCTCTATGAACCGAGCTCATTCCCATCACCAATGGAGGACTCTCTATGAACTGAGCTCATTCCCATCACCAATGGATGACTCTCTATGATCTGAGCTCATTCCCATCACCAATGGATGACTCTCTATGATCTGAGCTCATTCCCATCACCAATGGAGGACTCTCTATGAACTGAGCTCATTCCCATCACCAATGGAGGACTCTCTATAAACCGAGCTCATTCCCATCACCAATGCATGACTCTCTATGACCTGAGCTCATTCCCATCACCAATGGATGACTCTCTATGAACCAAGCTCATTCCCATCGCCAATGCATGACTCTCTATGACCTTAACTCATTCCCATCACCAATGGATGTCTCTCTTTGAACCGAGGTCATTCCCATCACTGATCATATAAGAATTCTGGTCAATTGTAAAAAAAAAAAAAAAAAAAAAAAAAAAAAAAAATTT